TAGGTGCGATCTCCTCGATGGCCGCGGAGAGTCGGTCATTCCAACCCTCCACTAGATCATCTAACGAGTCACCAGGGGGCAGTGTATCCCGAAGAGCCATCTGAAGCCGCTCCGGGTCCATCAGGCTCCGCGGGCGAGCCCAAATTGGCTCGCCGCCCAAACAGGGTTGGGGTGAGACGTTCACTCGGGCCTTCAGGGCATAGTGGTCCGACCATGGAACTGCCGAGGCAGTAATCCGGTCCACTGTGATCCCCGCCGCGAAGATCAGATCAAGTGTGTGACCGGCTTGATGTGTAGGAATTGTTACACATTGGGAGAGTCCCAGCGTCGCCATGGATGAGGCCAGGTCCAAAGATCGGGTGGAGGTCGCGTCGTCGGCATGGACATTGAAGTCCCCCAACACCACAAGTCTGGGGTGCTCCAGCGCCCAGCCTGACACGGCCTCCACCAGAGCTGGCAGGCTGCTTGCCGGTGCGTTGGGCGGACGGTACAGTAACCAAACAGCCAAACTCTCCCCAGCTTCCCACACAGAGCCAGCACATTCAATGCCCGGGATCCTCGCGGCCGGGAGAGCCCTGAAGGAGTAAGCCTCCTGAACGAACAGGGCCACTCCTCCCCCCCGCCCCTTTGTCCGGGATTGGTGGAGGACCGAGTAGCCTGGGGGAGCCATCTGGGAGAGCGCTACCATCTCCCCATCTCGCACCCAGGTCTCGGTCACGCACGCCAGGTCCACATCCTGATCCATGATGAAATGACTATCAGCCATGACTATCAGCAACCTGCGAGGGGCAGTGTTGATCCATGAAATGGTGCCTGGGTGTGGGGGTGGGAGTTAACACCCCTATTTCTTCTTGCCCTTCCCTGGCAGCCCCCCATAGGCTCGCCCCTTTTCCTTCCCCCTTCCCACCCTGCTGTATTAAGAACACAAGAGAAGCCAACGTTGGATCAGGCCACTGGCCCATCCAGTCCAACACTCTGTCACACAGCAGCCAAAAATACCAGGCGCCCTCAGGAGGTCCAGCAGCGGGCCCAGGACACTAGGAGCCCTCCCACTGTTGTCCCCCCCCCAGCACCAAGAATACAGAGCATCGCTTGCCCCAGACCGAGAGTTAAACATATGAACGTAAGAGAATCCAATGTTGGATCAGGCCATTGGCCCATCCAGTCCAACACTCTGTGTCACACGGTGGCCAAAAATACCAGGTGCCATCAGGAGGTCCAGCAGTGGGGCCAGGACACTAGGAGCCCTCACACTGTTGCCCCCCCCAAGTACCAAGAGAGCCACTGAGGGACTTCTGCTCCATGTGTTTATCCAGTTCCCTCTTGAAGCCGTCCGTGCTTGTAGCTGCCACCACCTCCTGTGGCAGTGAATCCCATGTGTGAATCACTCTTTGGGTGAAGAAGGACTTCTAGCCCGACTGCTCAGCAATTTCATGGAGTGCCCATGAGTTCTGGTATTGTGAGAAAGAAGAAGAAGAAGAAGAAGAAGAAGAGATTGGATTTATACCCCGCCCTTCACTTGGAGTCTCAGAGCGGCTTACAAACTCCCTTCCCTTCCCCACAACAGACACCCTGTGAGGTGGGTGGGGCTGAGAGAACTCTGCTCTTTTTCAAGGACAGCTGTGCCAGAGCTTGTGACTGACCCAAGGTCACATCAGCAGGTGCAAGTGGAGGAGTGGGGAATCAAACCCGGTTCTCCCAGATTAGAGTCCACACACTTAACCACTACACCAAACTGGCTCTCAGAAAGGTGCCCACGAGTTCTTGTATTCCACCGCTACAGCTCTGGCGATCTGAACAAAACCTTCAGAAGGTGCCTTTTACCTTTCTGAATATCATCTGGAGAAAACGCAGAAATCCTGGAAGCCTCTTGGCTGTTCTAGATAATTTAGGAATTTCTGCTCCATTTGTTTTTTCCTGTCAGTTTCAGTGTCTGTGCATGAGTGACCCCCCTCAGGTCTTTGCCCCATGGGGTGGTGGTGTTCCCTCTAAGCTGAGTTAGTGTGAGCTGGCTCACAGTTTTTGAGCCTCCGGCTCACACATTTTTGTCTCCGCTCAGGAAGGGATGGCTCCAGAGCAAACTAATTTATGCAGTAGCCAAAGCGCTCGCTCAGACCTTTGATGCCAGTAGCTCACAAAGTAGAATTTTTGCTCACAAGACTCCACAGCTTAGAGGGAGCATTGGGGGTAAACCTGCAGTGCCCCACATCAGAACCTTGATTTCTGCCCAGGGGCCTTCATTTGAGTGGGATGGTTTGTGGGGGGCTTTGCTGCATAACTCAGACGTTGGTCTGAGCCCCCAACCTTCTGACTCTGCCCTTGTTTTCTAGGGTGGGGGGAGAGATTTCTAAGAATGTCTTTGTTCCTGGGACCCTTTCTTCCAAAGGATTCACCAAATCTCTCCCCCTGCCCGAGAGTAGAGGCTGGAGGGGATTTTCTCCACGAGGGCTTCCGCAGGCCCATCCAGGGAGACCTGCTTTTATGAATTAAATGCTTTTATGTAGATGTGTTAAACATTTTAAATACATTTATACTTGGAGTCATCCAGACAGGCGCTGCCAGTGATCCAAAGGAGTTCTGTTCTGTTCACAAAACAAACCCAGTCTTTTCAGTCCAACTCCAGGTTTGGAAATTGCTGGGGTGGGGGGGCGCGGGGGGGGGGGGGGGGGGGGGAGAGAAGCTCAGGGGCGGTATGATGCCCTAGACCCCGCCCTCCAAAGGAGTCTCTGAAGTCTGGGGAGGAGTGGTGCTTCTGGGAAACGTCCTGGTCCCACCTGGAAGTTGGCAACCCTCGGCTGCACCTGGCCCTCTTCCTTGGCCCCTCCACTTCTCTCTTCTCTCCTCCTGTTTCTCCTCCGGCCCTCAAATCCCCCCTCTCCATTCCTCAGGGTCCCTCCCCCCATTCTGTTTCCCTCTCCTCTTTCACCCCCCCACTGCCACTTGGCCTGGGTCTCTGAAGACGGGTGTGGGGGGTCTGGGGGTTCCTTTCATCACTGACAGCCCCCTTGACTCTACCCCCCTTCTCTGTCTCTCCCCCCTCCAGGCGCCTCCCCCTCCTCCCCCCACTCCCTGCGCTACTTCCACACGGCCCTGTCTGAGCCGGGCCCGGGGCTGCCCCAGTTCAGCATCGTGGGCTACGTGGACGACCAGCCCTTCACCAAGTATGACAGCGTCAGGAGGAATTTTGTGCCCCTGGTCCCCTGGATGGAAGAGGTCGGGAAGGAGGACCCCCAGTACTGGGAGAGGAATACCCAGATGGCGCAGAGCACCGAGTCTGTCTTCAGAGGGAATCTGGTGACGCTGCGGGAGCGCTTCAACCAGCAGAACAGCACAGGTGAGTGGAGGGGGAGGGGCCAGCCGGCCGGAGCACCTCCCCTCCCTTCCCCCAGTCCCTCCCTCCCCAGGGCCAGAGAAGGGGGAGGGGCCGCACCTCAGTGGGAAGAAAAAACAGCCCCCCTTCCCCAGTTAGAGCAGGTATGGGGGGAGGGGAGTGGGGCACATGCACTTGGGGGGAGATAAAAGGCGCTTTGGCTGTCCTGATGGGCACCACTGGGGTGGGCCGGTGGGGTGGCGTCCCCCCCCCCTCCAAGGGAGAGGAGAATCTAGAAAAGCACAGTTCCCATATCCTGCCGTTTGGAGGCTTGGGGGGGGGGGGCTGTGGAATTCCCACGACTGAGTGTGTGTGTGAAAGGGAGGGGGTGGAGCAGTCCCCTCCCCCATTTCTCCTGTAGGTGGTGTGGTGGGGCTGCTGCCTGGTGGAAGAAAGGAGGACTTGGTGTGGGTGTGTGTTTGGGGGGGTGCTTCTTCTTCCTGGAGAGGATCTCCTTTTTTTAAACGTCAGAAATTCATGTGTCCCCCTCCCTTAACGTGAAAGTCCCCCACCTCTTATCCCGAGGAGCAAAAGAGGACCCGGCACCGACACTGCTTTGGAGGGTAGAATAAAAGGCGACACACACCCCTTTGATACCACTTGCCACTGTACCACTGTACTTGCAAGTGTGTACAGTTCCAAATGGGGTAAATGCAACACCCTTCCACCCTGGAAAAGCCAGACCCCCCCCCCACACACCCTTACTATTTCCTGGGAGAAGACCAAAGACTTTCCTATAAGAAAAATTGCAAGTGTGTACTTGAGGACCAGTTGCAAACTGCTGTATCTGATGTGACTGCAGCCTGTGGATCTTTTAAATGTTTGCCCTCAGAGTGCAGGGGGGGAGGAGTTGAAGGTAGAAAAATTCTGTCATAAAGAGAAGGAAGTGCATTCTTTGGACCCAAACTCTATCATAATAGGGTCACAATAGTTAAGGAAATTAAGGTAGGCTTCATAATATGGAGAACACTGAGCGTCTTCCCAGTTTTCCTTCAGAAGTGTTTTTCATTTTAAAAGAGAAAATATCACTCCAGAGTTTTTTCCAGGGGCTTTCTGATTTTTCCATTGAGAATTTTTTTTAAGTCCTTTAAAAATATGGGGTGTTTGATTCTTGGCCTTCAAGCCTCTATCCCAGCCACATAACATTTTCTGATTTTGTCTTATGTGTGGCTGTGTGGGATTATAGGCTGACCCCTTGTAAAATAACCTACATTTTGTTCTGTATGGAGATTTCTTTCATTTCTCTCCCCCCCACACACACATTTGGAATTGGAGTCATAAAATCATTTAAACTTCATAATACCGGAGAGAGATTGCCTATTCTTTTTCCTGCTTTTGATTTGAGGAAACAGCTAAACTGGGGTGGGGGGTGGGGGAGAGTTTCCACAATGTCCTCTCAGTGGCTCCCAAATAAGACTTCTTATTTGCTCTGATAATTAATTTCACTTTGAATCTGACCGTACAGGAAGATTTTGCCATTTTGAATGTAAAAAACCCCCACACACCCTGACCAGACTTGATCCAGGGCTGGGCCCGAATTCTGCAAAAGAAACGGGGGTGGGGGGGGGGCTGGGGCTGGGCCAGAGGCATTGATGTGCCAGGTCCTTAAAAGAACCGAGGCCCAGTGACATCATAGGGAGGGGCCAGTGACATCACAGGCCATTGTCACTATCTATGGAAGTGGAACCATGTGGGATTTAGGAAAGGACTCCCCAGAAATGTAGGGGAGGCTGGGAACCCTTGGGAAACCCCCCTAGCCATGCCCCTGGGCTGGGCTAAACTCAGAAA